GTAGTGAGGGTTATAATCCCTAAGTGCGGCCGAAGGCCGCCTACGCAAAAAGAAGTTCTGCGCTAAAATACTATCATATTACTATTACTACAACATTTCTATCTGTCGCTTTTTTCTTAATTTCACAATATTTTTAGTTAACTTTTTTTCCTTCATTTTTTTTTTAGTTAATTTTTTTTCAAATCGCCTGATAACCAACTTGGGATAATTTCTTTTATTTAAAAATCCCACGGTTTTCGTTAGTTGGGTTATATTCCATTTCAAACTGCTCAGTTTGCCTCGGAAAATGCCGTTTTTACCCCATTTTCAAACGGTTCCCTAGGGGTCTGTGGGAGGTCCCCAAGAGGGGGAGGGGGGCTTTTCGTAAAGTGGCGACTGTCCCCTTTCGAATGAGGGGGGTTTGGGGGGCCACGCCCCCTCCCCCTCCGCCCCCCACCCCAAAAACGATGGGCCAATAACTAAACATTTCCCAGGTATTTCGACAGGTGGTGATTTGGGATTAAACACTGCCCAACTCAACCCTGGTGTCTCCGAACGAAGCTTTAACGCATAATAATGTTGGAAAATCACATACATTTGGCCAATCCTAACACACAATATACTCAATGGTTCAATAGGCCGATTTAGTCTGGCCTTCACTCGACCTCAGCACCACCTAGCAGCTCTTTTTTGCAATTGGACTGCCTTTACCGTTTTCAATACATGTTTTGAATATTCGCCAAATCGGATCATAAAAAGGATTTTTAGTAATAACTCAACTCCAGCGCCAACTGGCGGGTACAATTGCGAAACTAAACTATCCAGAGACCCACTGAAACACACATACGGCTTGTATGGTAGGTGCCACGCCCCCTTTTCCAATAGGTCCATATTTTCTTAATGACTATGCGATCAATTTCATATATCTCCACACCAAGTTCCAGTACTCTACCAAGAAGAATTCTATAGATATGCAATAAGAAAAATTCGACTTGTATGGGAGGTGCCCCGCTGGTATAAAGTTCCAGTACTCTACCATAAACACTTCCAGAGATACTTATTATGAAAAATTCGGTTTATAAGGGAGGTGACTCGCTCCATTTTCAAATAGACCGAAATTTTATTCATGAGTATGCGATTGATTTCTACTCTACCATGAAGATTTCCAGAGATATACAGTATGAAATATTGCCACGCCCCTTTTCCAATAATTCCAATTTTTCTCCAGGGGTATGTAATTGATTTCATATATTTCCGTACCAAGTTCAAAAATTTCTCTCAAGAGTATGCGATTGATTTCATATACATAGTATCCCCATACTAAGTTCCAGTACTCTAGCATGAACATTTCGGCGTTCGGTGTAAATTAGGTTTATATGGGAGGTGCCACGCTCCTTTTTCAAATAGTCCGAATTTTTCTTCATGAGTATGCGATTGATTTCATATATCTCCGCACCCAGTTCCAGTGCTGTACCATGAACACTTCCAGAGAAATGCAGTATGAAAAATTCGTATTGTATGGGAGGGCCCACGCGCTTTAACAATACCTAAAATTTTTCTCAAGAGTATGCGATTGATTTCGTATACATAGTACCTCCATACCAAGTTCCAGTACTCTACAATGAACATTTACAGAGATATACAGTGTGAAAAATTCGGCTGTATATGAGGTGCCACGCCCCTTTTCCAATAGCTCCCATTCATATATTTTCGTACCAAGTTCAAAAATTTTACCATGAACGCTTCCACTACTTACTTTGGTTAGGATTAGACATGGGTTAGCCAAGGATAAGAGACATAAGCTTCTTAAAAGTAATAAGGGATTTGATTCTTTTTAATTTTGAGTTGCGTCGTTATTGCAGAGGACCATCGGCATGTGAATTCATATATTTCGATAATGAAATAAATTCGAGCATAAATAAGATTTTTAATTACATATACATATTATTTTTCCTGTTATCAATACATATTTTGAATCTGAGGATAATCGGACCATAAACCCGATTTTTAGTAATAACTCGACTCCAACGCCACTTGGAGACTCTTTTTTTGCAATGGTATTGTTTTTCCAATTGTCAATACATATCTCGAATATGAGACGAATCGGACCATAAACACGATCTTTAGTAATAACTCGACTCCAGCGCCACCTGGCGGCTCTTTTTTTGCCGTGGTATTGTTTTTCCTATTGTCAATACATATATCAAATATGAAGCGAATCGGACCATAAATACGGGTTTTACTAATAACTCGACTCCAGTGCCACCTAGCGGCAGTTTTAATAGTTATTCTGCTATTCGGAAGGTAGACAAATTCAAGAAACAAATATCATAAAAATCGGTCCAGCCGTTCTTGAGTTATAAATGGAGTAACTAACACGACTTTGCTTTATATATATAGATATCTAAACCCCTTCTTTCATATTCCTGTTGGTTTTGGTGTTGCTTCATTATATATTCCTCAATTTCCCAGCCACAAAGTGATAGAAATTGTCCGTTGTCATCCTCTTCATCCCATGTTGTGTTAAAGAAAGCATGGGCTGCTCTGACTGGGATGCACAAAACCTGTAACCGTGGACCCTTATCTTCATCTTCAATACATATGTAAGGGTTTTCCATGTCTTTAAAACACAACATCTCCAGTTCGTAATCGAAGTTGTACTCCCCATAATGCTCGCTAATGAGGATTCGATTAATTCCAGGCATGATGTGCTTTATAAGTATCTTTAAATAAAGTAATAATTTCTGATGTACAGTATTGGCATTGTTCATCGAGCAAGTATGGGCAAGAGCGCAGTTTTCGGGTGTGCCGCAAATGCCCAGTTTCCCGTTTGCACCGATGTATTTTAATTAAAAGAAAGTACACAAGGAAGTTTGTATTAACAAATAGAATTTACAATGGTTTTATTGCTTAATATATTAATAGGTACAATTGTATTTTCAGGTTACGTTATATATGTATATAGTTGGATGAGGCGATGAAAATTTGGTGCCACTGACGTCTTCTCAAAAGGATGTTCGGAAAACAAGTAACAGTCCGTTCTTTTCTTTTTAATGACGTTAGCCCATCGAACGGCTTTCTATGCAAGGGAAATTTTAACATAGCTAGCGTTCGACAATAGAAAGCAGTTAACTGTTGTCTTATGTACAAATGTTAAATATTAGGGTGGCTCTTAAATTGCATATTTAAGACGCTGGCCTTAACATGCCGGCCCCTTGCGGCAAGCAATCTGGAAATTTACGTTTTAAGGTCACCAAGTTTCATAGTTTAGTAAATATGTCTTAAAACTAAAAGCAACGTATCCATTTGTCGAACCTAGATTCTAGAAAAAATGTGAAGGAAGAAAAAAGTCACAATAAAGGCGAGGTTTGAAATTCACAAGCACTTGTTTATTTTCATTTCAATTCATGTTTTCAGATCAGGTTTTAAAAAAAAGTGAATAATAATATTAGAATAAATGTATGATCAGCTGATCGCCCCTTTGTAACAATTCCGGATGGAAATCCGCTTTGAGCTTGGCGGGCGAATGCAGAGAATTCCACTCGTCCGCTTTCGATTTGTCGACGGCGGGGGCGGTAACGCTGATGTCGGGATTTGAAACCTCTCTTATTTTTTGAGGGCTGGAAAGCTACGGTCTCCAGTCCCTCTTGATGGTCTCGCTCATGCTGGAAGTCCGGGCGAAAACGCTTGGGTACTAGCCCCCTCGACCCATCTGGATGGAAAGCGTCGGTTTCCATTCCAGGGGAGTTCGCTGTGAGGAAAGCATCGGTTTCCGCTTCAGGTTCAGGGCTTTCCCCCTCTTTCCGGGCTGGGCGGAAAGCTGAGGTTTCCGCTCCAGCTTCTGACGCCTCTATCGATATGTCGTACCATTTTCCCAATCCTAATTAGAACTTTACGAGGAAAGGAGATTGACAGGTGGTGAGCCATACCGAGGTACAAATTTACGCAATTGATGGGAAAAATGTTTATACCTGGCTTTATGTTGGGGTGGTGAGAGTCGGCAGGGTTCATGGGTACTTTGAGTTGCTTTTCTGATAAATAGGTTGCACAGAAAGTGTGGCGGACCAAAATTAAAATTTAATTGACGGAGAAATCATTATAACTTGACGTAGTAATACCGCATTTTGAAATAGATAATAATAAATAATTATGTATTATTTATTGTTACCCACCCTATCTATTGAAAAAAAATGCATATAACTTCCATTACTACAAGCACTAAATGCACACACACACTATTATGGAAAATGGCAAGTGCAACCCCAGTGTTAGTCATTGAAAGAACTCTCCGCAGTATCGAATTGTTTAGTTCATCGATATCGATAGCACACCAGTACTTCCGGCAATGGCCGGCTTTATTAATGAATTATAACATCCAGTGCACGGACTACAACACTTTATTGGTAGATATACAACTTTTTAGCTGTTTTTTATTTTCTACCATTTCTACCAACAAAGGCTAAAAATCTACCAATATTTTCCCGAAAGAAAGCAAAGAGATTTAAATGAACACAGTGTATACATAATTTATCATGGAACATACCTAAAATAAACATGAGGAGTTAACTTTGACCATAACCAACTGTTTATGGAAATATTTTTCGTTTGCAATATGTTTTTTGTGGGAGACTGCCAAAGGTGGTGTGCAAACTTAAATCATTTCAAAACTAATTTTAATCAAAAAATTTTGAAGTGCAGAGTAATTGTTTGTTTTATTGTAAAACAGGACCAGAATCAAGACATCCGGGATCGAATCAAATTCGAATGGGAATAGTCTTTACAGCTTTTGGTAGCGAATTCGCTTTTTCAGTTCAAAATGTATTTGAGAGAAAACAGCTGTCATTTTGTTCCATTCGATTCGAATCGTGCCATGACTTGTGCCCAATTTTATGTACTACATATTTATACCTTTTTTGTTGAATGTTTAATTGTTTTATAAAGAAATACAATTTATTCCAAGGCGAATTCATATAATAAGGTGACGGCAAAAGTTCAAAAACAAAAATTCCACTAACAAATTTTACCCATAATGACAATAAGAATTACAACAAATACATCATTTTGACATTAAAAATCCCCAAGGCGAAAATTCAGCTGCTTTGGTAACACCATTTTACCTGAATTAGCTTTCATTTATCCCAAAATGAGTAAAGATTATATAATAATGTTTCTTTTAAAAAAATCTACCAACTTCTACCAATTTTTGTATGCAAAATCTACCAATATTAATTTTTTGTAACTCCGTGCACTGATGACATCGTTTTACGAGCATATCGCAAATGCTCATTAATTAATATTTCGCGTTGTGTATAGTAAATCAAATAAAACACCTCTTTGAGGTAAAATTTTCGAATGACGAAAGCTGAACTAGAAACACAAAATTTATGATATCAATTTCGTGACGAAAATTATACGCATTTTTTAACTGCCTTTGAAACGTAGGGAAAACTTTTTTATTCATACGAATCGTTGCAAAGGTTCTGTTTTTTTATTTTGTGTTTCTAGAAGTAGACGCAATTTTGCAACGTTCCGAATAAAAAAAAAAAAAGATTTTCCGTACGTTTCAAAGGCAGTTAAAAATGCGTATAATTTTCGTCACGAAATTGGTATCATAAATTTTGTGTTTCTAGCTCAGCTTTCGTCATTCGAAAATTTTACCTCAAAGAGGTGTTTTATTTGATATCAGTTATTTTGTGGTAGCAAATTTAAAATCGACGAAAATACAAACAATAAACTAAATGTTTTATTTTTCTCAAATAAATTGCTAAAAATATTCTCTAAATCTAAATTATGTATTCAAATCGATGTGTCCATTGAAACACATAGTTTTTCGAATACGGAATAAAGCAAAAAAGCATGATCAAGGATACGATGATATTAAGGATGATATGTATTCGAAAAAATTAAAAATATAAAAAAATATGAGAAATGATAAAAACTTATCAACTTGGTACCAACTTTGGATACAATAAACAACTGTATTCGTCTGATTACCTTAGTTTAATTGTTGTTAAGATTTCTACTGGGGCGCACACATGTGCTTTTTTTAGAAGTTTTACTTCTATCACGTGTACGGTGTTGCACTCGTGCTATTAAACAAATGATTTTTTCTCAAGTAGTTTTGCTCAGTGGCAATTTATACATATGTATGTAAGTAGTAGCGGCACATTGGGTGAACTAAATGCATTCATACATACATATTTATGTACAACTATAGGTAAATACCAGGTAGGTTAAGTGCGGGTGATAAACCCATGTAGCATAGTTAAATACTGTGTACATACCCGCAATTAAAATGGGAAAGAATGTTACAATTTCGGCATGTGACTGAAAAAAACTCTAAAATACACACAAACTGTGGTTTCCAAGCCATGTACGAAGTGATTAGCACAGCTGCATCCTTCAACTTGTGAACTCGCGGGAAATTCCCCGATTTGCAGGGAATTTCGGTTTCGGCAATCGGGGAATGGGAGATTTTTTTCGGGGAAGTGGGTATGTTATTTTTATATCTTAAAGTAACCAAATTAGACGGATATGTTAATTTTTAACCATTTGACCCTTTTTGGAGCGACATTTTTTCAATTGGAATAGCAATATCTCCACAACAAGAGTTTTCCCAGATAAAAGCTATATACCAGATGAAAGCTAAGGTTTTGAATAAAATGGACTGACCAGTTTTTGAGAAAATGCCCGAAATCTCTATTTTCATCAGCCCGATTTTTAGCTTTCAGGCGATAACGTTATGGCGTATTTATATTTTATAAACACAAAAGATAGCGTTAGATAGCTTGTTTGAAGACCCTTCTATTGATAACCACATCAATGACATGGACTGCATTACTCAGTGGTAGTTTAAAAAATTGCCTTTTTTTCGAATTTCAGGCAGCAGCCACGCCCACACAGGCATACGTATCAAAACATCCTGGAACAAAACCTTCTTAGTTTTTTATGTGCTTTAATTCCTGAAAGTTTGAAAAAAATTAAATGATGGTACGTACAGACGCTACATACATACCAAAGCATCTCGTAGCGGAGACACGAACCAAAGCTCCTGATAAACAAAAAATTTTCAGGTAAAAATGTCACCGTTTTTGAAATATTTACATTTTTTCGAATTAAAAAAAAATCGTGCCTTTTCATGTGTTTTCTTTAACTGCAACTACAAACCGGGCAATACTTAGTAAATTTTTTATGTAAAATACTTCCAGATAGTTGCCTCTCCATACTCAAATGCAATGTAGTTAAAATATATTAAGGAACCATCATAAAATTAGGACTATTTCTGGATTTTTTACTTATTGATATTTTCTTCCCCAACTTTGACTATCTCGGGTGAAAAAAATGTACTGAGCTATAACTTTACATTACATAAAAAAATTGCTCATTTCATAAAGATTTCAGAAAGGTGCCACACTTACTATTTCGAATAGAAAAAAAAAGTTATAGCCGCTTTTGTGGGTAAAGGACTGAGACACGCTAGAATGTATTTAATAGATTTAAATTGAATTTGCTCTTGTTACCGTCAAATGAAATGCTAAATAGTACAAAGGTACATTATTACGTGCTCCTGGCGTTATTTTATGTTACCTTTCTGAAATCTTTATTAAATTAGCAATTTTTTTATGTAATGTAATGTTATAGCTCAGTACATTTTTTTTCACCAGAGACAGTCAAATTTGGGGAATAAAATATCAAAAAGTTAAAAATCTCAAAATAGTCCTAATTTTATGATGGTTCCTTAATATATTTTAACTACATTGCATTTGAGTATGGAGAGGCAACTATCTGGAAGTATTTTACATAAAAAATTTACTAAGTATTGCCCGGTTTGTAGTTGCAGTTAAAGAAAACACATGAAAAGGCACGATTTTTTTTAAATTCGAAAAAATGTGAATATTTCAAAAACGGTGACACTTTTACCTAAAAATTTTTTGTTTATCAGTGAGCTCACCCCCCACCTACTTTCCCCTAAAGTTTGGCACGTTACTTCTGGGACACCCTGTATAAGCGAGTCATTTCAGCATGCTACTGTGGCTGCTTTCGTCACTCGCGCGCACTGCCGTGCGCTGTGATGTGCGTAAACACGGTTCATTTGTAGCGTGTGAAAGTGAGCCCGACCGATGTGTTAAAATTAAAAAGTAATTCGGTTTTATATTTTTTAATTAACTTTGACTGTGTCACGTGGTTGATTCGTAAGGTATGTCTTTTACCATGATACAAAAAAGAAGGTAGTTCCATTGTCACTTTTTCATCGCCATATTAACATCCTGACAATTAAGTAGATTGTGACATTTCGTGCTACCATACCCAGTATCTAAAACCCTCCAAATTTTTTTTATTAATTTTTTGGTTATTTACAAACATTTTGTTCTTACAGCCCTATTCTAATAAAACCTCACAACTGAGTTGTGAGCAAAATATTGTGAGATTTCTTGTGAGGTCTATATTGTGAGGTTATTCTAGCCCACACCTCACAAGAAAAAAGCTCAACAAAATCACCACACGAGGTGGAAAGCATTTTGCTGTCTAACAGCTGTTTCGTAAATAAAATAAATACAAAAGAAGGTGGCTGAACAACAGGACAAATAAATATTTTTGCAATTTGTTTATTTTTTTGATAATTACTTATTTTATTTTTTTAGGCGAATTTAAAAATAAATAACAAAGCAGGAGTAGGTCCAGTACTTCACACAGTTTGCAATCCACAACTTGGAGCAAAAGTTTGTACTGAAATGAAATCCTATGCCTGCTCTAACTCTTCCGAAACTGCCGCAAAAACAAGCAATAACTCCGCCATTACTGAATATACTTTTAGTTAAAAAAAAAAAACATAACATACTGATAACGAACGAAAATTAACAAAACATTCAATTGCTCACTAAAAATCGGCTGTTTTTCTCTTGTGAGGGTCTCATTCGTACATCATACATTTCCTGACAATTGTGAGCGTATGAGCTTTTGAATTTACGCCAGCATAGGGATAACCTCACAACATGATTCAATAATACAAGGTTCGATAAATTGACAGTTGTCTCTCTCGCATCGCTCCCTTAGCAGTGGCACCGTGTTGCTTCTTTGCAAATTTACATGGAAACAGTGTAGCTTTGGTGTGAAATAAAAGTAAAAGCTTTTGTGCAATATGTTTATTTGTATATGCATATGAAGCATATTTAACTGATGAAAACATAAGCATTGGGTGTTTATATCAATCTCATAGTAGTCTTATTTTAATTTTGAGTCATTTTGCAGTTTTTATACAGCTAAATAGCATATAAATTACGTAATTCGCGTAGATATATAAATATTACGTTCAACATTTCGTTTAAAATGCCAGATTTCCTGCAAATACTTTAGAATTTACAAAAGGAATTTCACTACTAATTGCCTACTTTGCGTACTTTTC